TATGGCACATATTCAACTATAAAATATAAAAATACTCAATACTCTAAGAGGTTGATTGATATTTCTCTGAATTAATAATGTGTTTTTAAAAAGGCAATAAAAGATTGTTGTGCAGATACTAGTAAAATCTGTATACTCAATGTGTTCATTTTAGAGTTTATTATGTGACCAAAATACCAAAGATAAAAATTCTATACATAATGCAGGTCATGACTTAAGTATCTACAAACTGAAATACACCAGGACTCTTATTTCGAAATATCTATGGGCCACTACAGCTGCTTATTATACAAATGAGTGAGACAAAATGTGCACGTTTTCAACCATCTATAACATTACAATATAAACACCATAATGTAAACAATGTCATAATTCATCAACAGTAGATCATGAGTAATCGCTTGGCATAAATGCACGCTATTCATTGATTGTAGAATGCAGTGTTTTGACTTTGAATGCTCAGCGCTCACATTTATTTAATTCAATCACAGCCTTTTGAAGTTTAATAATCACATTTGGTTGTGTCACGAATCCGGTTTTTACATCCCAAAATATAAGACCTCTTAAAATGATAATTAAGACTTATGACCATAAATCTGATAAAACTGATTTAAAACATTTTTAAGAACACACTGTGACCCTGCAAATATCATGCTTGAAATATCCAGAGCAATCTGTTTCTGCCTAACATCAGGTAGTTAAAAAAAGAGCACTAATTCATCATAGCGTTCACGACAGCTAATTCAGAGGCAACGACTGGCTGTGGGACCAATTTATGTTCGTTTAAGCACAACCAAGCCCCCCATAGCTTTTACATCAGCCCTGTGAGTTATGGGAAATACGTTTCTGGTGAAGATGCGCAAGATGTTTTGTGTGAAGATATCTAGGCTGTCTGAATCACAACATCTGGTCATTATAAAACAGCAGTAACATGAGTGTTTGATGGAAACCTCATTTTCTCATGCAATCGATACAGTCTCAGCTAAGTGCAGCTCTAATGATGTGACAGTATGTTCAGGGGACCAGATAATATTTCTAAGTTTCTTTTGAAACTTGAGAGTTAAGCCATATTTAAACTACACTAGAAAGGCAAGTTTGTGTAAAAATAAATAATAAATCAGTGGCACTACCACTTTGTGTTGCTTTTCAATGGATTTGGGTTTAATTATTATTACTAAAGTCCACTTCTAATGAGTTTTTGCACAAAATAATTGTTTTACATGACTATTTTTCTCTCTCTCTCTGACTCTATAAAATGAAACAGCCTGTCTTTTACTAATTATAATACCGTTCAAAAGTTTGGGTTCAGTAAAATTACTTTGGTTTGAAAGAAGTGAATAGTTTTATTCAGCAAGGATGCATTTAATTTGATCAAAAACAACAGTAAAAACATTTGTCACAAAATATTTCTACTTCATATAAATGTGGCTCTTTTGAACGTTCTATTCACCAAAGAATCCTGAAAAACAAAGCATCACAGTTGTGCTGCTTAACATCTTTGCCAAAACTTTTCAACGTTGACAATAATAAGAAATGTTTCTTGATCAGCAAATCAGAATGATTTCTGAAGGATCATGTGACACTGGAGTAATGACTGCTGAAAATTAAGCTTTGCACAGTAATAAAGGAATTAATTACATTTTAAAACAGAAAACAGTTACTTTAAATTGTAATAATATATCACAAAATTACAGTTGTACTGTATTGTTTTGTCTCAAATAACTGCATCCTTGGCGAGCAAAAAACTTGATTTAAAAGCCTTATACAACCCCAAACTTTTGATTGGCAGTTTACCTTTAAAACTTGTGTGCAATGCCTTCTTGACATGTAAAAAGACTGGACTGAAAAGATTATGAAACTTGTTATAAATAAAATTCAGACTGGGTAAGTTGGTGAACACTGAAGAGGCATTGTTGAGGTGCAAATGTGGGTGGTCAAGCATTTTTCTAACATCAAAAAGTAGCCCAAGTTAGCAAAACGGTTTTGCTGAATTCAGAACTTCTTCTACAGTCCTTTCATCAAGAGAGAGAGAGAGAGGAAAAAAAGAGAGAACAGTACATTAAACTGGTGATGGAAAACTGTGGACATCTTACCGGGCATTTTACAGCTTTTAAACAATTCTTACAAATGAATCCTAAAATGCAAAGATGCAAAGGAAACCTGTCAGAACTGAATGGTTTTGCTAAACATATGCAACATTATTTGATACAGGGAGCGGTGAGTGGGAAAAAATGAGTGCCCAGATATTCCCATTCGTGTCGTCAGCAAATATGACATTCCTTCAGATGACTCAGTAGTAAATGATTTTACCATGCGAGACCTTTCAGCTTAAACACAAGTGTGACTGTTACAGCTGATGAGATTCATAACACCCAAGACCATTTACTGCATCTAAGAGGACAAGCTCATTCTCCATTTAAACTACTCCTTTATTTTCCACTTATACATTCAGCGCTCTAATCATATTGTCAATCCTGCCTTGACATCTCTGACAGCCATTTAAGCCCTGAAGACAATCTGCTACTTTGCCACCTCATGGACACTGTGACCGACAGATGGATGAATATGAAGTTTTGAAAGCCTCACTGATTTGCTGGGGAAGTGCTTTTCATGCATTTTCCTATCATTGTGCTGTGTAAGCATCTCTCATCAAATGACAGGCCACTTTATGATAATCCGAAATTAATTTAGCACATTCATTTTGACTGACTTTATCACAAAAAAGCACTGACACTTCTTCACATTCACTATGTGTTGCAAAGTAAGGCACACTACATAATAAATTAGGCACTGGAAAAACCTTACATAGTAAATCAAATGCTCAGTGTAACATGAACAGTCCATTATTAGTGGAAAGGGTGCTTTAATACTCAGAAAAACAGAACCAAAGGAAACGGGTTTAAATAGATTTTGTGCCGAGCAGCATGAGTCTAATGTTCAGATATGTGAGTAACTTCACTTTAAATAATACTTTTAATAAACTTAATTCACCTATGAAAAGTGTCACCACACTTTGGAAATGGGCTTCTTAAACTAAACTGTAGCTCTCCTTAAATATAAGAGAATTGAGTAAATCCTATAAAATTAGACATCAAGTTAATTCAGTGGAATCTCTGACAGCTAACTACTATTGTCTAAAGAACAAGCAAGCCTGCAAAAAGTAGTATTTTATTTGGACATATGCTAACATTGCAGTAAGAAAGATCTTTTTAAAAATATATTAATACTTTTATTAAAGAAGGATGCATTAAACTGATTTAAAAAATTGCAGTAAACATTTATGATGTTACAAAATAAAAAGTATGATATTTTGAATTTTCTATACATTAAATCCTAAAAAATGTAGGATTAAGCAGCACAACTATTTCCAGCATTGGTAATAATAAATGCATCATGAGCACCAAATCAGCATGTCAGAATGATTTCTGAAGGATCGTGTGACACTGAAGACTGGAGTAATGATGCTGAAAATTCAGCTTTGCCAACATAGGAACAAGTTAAATTTGAAAAATATATTGAAATAATATTTGGAAATGTATTCTGATCAAATAAACTCAGTTTTGTTAGGCACAAGAGACTTATTTAAAAAAAAAAAAGAAAAAAAAAAAGAGGATAATGTATTGAACTGGTTTGAAATACAATGTGAACATTGTTCTGTGTAGCAGCATACCCAACAATCTTTACTTGTATTCTCCCCAAAGTCTCTCATGTTGTTCAAAAACACATTAAATCCGCTTTGCATCGTGGCCGTATCACCACCTTGGGTGTGCATTATTTTCGAATAATTCAACGGCCCGTCGTCAATTATTCCTAACTTAATTTCAACATTTACCTATGCAAAGCATCCTAGGACCTGAAAATCCCAAACAAATAAAGATGATTCAATGTTGTTCCAATGCAAACAAAGTAAACAAACTTCTATTACACTAATTCATCTGATTGCATGCAATGAAAACAGGGCTCCAGACAAAAAAAATTTTTTTTAGGTGCCACAGAATAAATGTGTTTTATTTATTTATTTATTTATTTTTACATTTTAACATTTCAATCATACTGTCATGTGTTTATGTCTTATCTTTTCTTGACTTTATCAGCATTTTAATCCATCTTGTAGATGACCTGGAAACTAAGGTTCACTTAAAGTGGGAACTAAATGTCTTTTCCAACTTGAAATATACAGTCACAAAGAATTGTTCATTACACAGAATCTGTACCAATATCGTGGACCATAAGCATCACTTGGCCACTGAGTTTGGACTCCCCCTCAATGCATCCTGTAAATGTTGTCATACACTCTTAAAAATAAAGGTGCTTCACGATGCCATAGAAGAACCTTTTTTGTCTAAATGGTTTCATAAAGAACCTTTAACATCTGAAGAACCTTTACGTTTCACAAAAGGTTCTTTGTGGCGAAAGAAGGTTCTTCAGATTATAAAAAGTTGAGAAAGAGATTGTTTTTAAAGAACCTTTGACTAAATGATTCTTTGTGGAACCAAAAATATTATTCTATTATAAAACCATAATATTAAGGATTATAAATGAGAATTGTTAACGATATTGCCAATATCCACACAGCTGACAGCTTTACCTGTTGTAGTTTGTTCAAGTTGTGCACGAAATAGACTCTGCTTTTGTAAACTTTCACTTCGCACGTCTCCGTCATTTTGATCTCTCTCGCGCTGCACAACTGAGCTGCGTTTATCAGGTGTGCGTCAACGCTGGCATTACATGCAAATTTTTAAGTTATAACATGTAAATATATATAGGCCTAGTCACCAGTGGCGACCTCAGCAAAAACTTCACTCGCAAATTAATATTTTTGGTCACAAATGCGACTGTTTTAGTCGCAGTCTGGAGCACTGGAAAATAAGTTGTGAAATAAATTCAGTAACTGAGTTGAGCATTAGCTCATTTCAATGAAGTGAACTGAACAAGAAGCAAAGCTCTGTTTCTTGAGTGTTAACTGAATGAGTTGAGCTAAAAACTCGACCGGAACTTACTGGTCATGTCTGGTGTCAGGGATACTGCGGTCCATTCTGAGTTTGTCACTCTCAACCTGGTTGAACTTGTTGCGGGCGTAGGGATCCTGCCCTGGCCTCACCACTGTAGCTCCCACGTACAGGTCCTGGTCAAAGTCCTGCCACCTAACCTTCCCTGAAAAAGTGACAAGAATGATTAAACACTGGATGTCAGACAAAAAAAGAACATCTAGATCTTTGCAACAAAAAAAGACCAAATACATTTTGTTTTTCTTGTCATTTCCATTACCAAAAGGCTGACTTTTACCCAGTGTACAAATAAATCAAATACTGTGGCTTGATTGCTTTAACATACTGACTGAGTAGGCTACTTTCCATTCGAACAACTCTGAAACTATCAATTTGTCAGTAAGTACATGTCCATAGACGCCTATATCACTCCAGACATCAGGCTTGTCATTTACCAAAGACAAATGTCCACACTATAATATAAAGAACAAAGGTGTACTTTATCTTTTTTTATTTGTATTGAATGAAATACTCATGTTTCTTAGAATCTTTTTTTAGCCAAGACAAAAACCCTGAATGCACTGCTGCCCATTATTACATTATAAATCACAGTCACCCAAAAGAACGTGAAAGGAGCTGGCTAGACATCTTTAGTTGATTACAACCCAGGTGAATCTGTCAAAGAAGACATTTGCTAAATGATAATATATGAGGATATTTGTCAAATGGAGCCATTCCACAACAGCCTGCCTTAAATGATTTCCCAACCACAAGCTTAGCTTTTCCTCAACAAAAAGTGTTATTTTTCCATTTTGATGTTAGTCACATCCCACGGTAACATGGCAGCAGTCGCCGTTGTCATGGAGTTAAATGGCAGAAATGGCTACGATGATACTTAGACCTCAGAAACATGAGGCAGAATTCGATTATGTTATCTATCATTACAAAAGACTATAAGCAATTAATTTAGCAGGGCTCTGGCAAACATCTTCTGCATTATAAATAGGCCGACATGAGTGAGAATTACATGCCACTGATGCCATCGATTCAAAGGCCAAGACCACGGCCACAAGAATTGTTAATGAACAAGGGACAACATTTCAAATTAGGAGCAGAACCGAAAGGAAAAGCCAAACTCTTAGATATGGTCTATAAGTCTTAACCACCACTTCATTATACACTACACCATGTTTCTATAATGTTCATTTCTATAAACATCTAGCAGTTTCATGTAAGCTTTTAGAAAGCTTAAACAACACAAACTAAACATAAATATTCATTTTAATATAACAACACCATCACCACCACAAATACCAACAACAACAAAAAAAAAAACAGTTACAGTGGAGCATATACCCTTGTCTTTTTAACTAGTCTACACGTCCCAGTGGTTCCAAACCAGAATCCTTATGGTGAAATCAAATACTCTGAAGTGCAATAACCGCTGGGGATCATTTGTCAACATTATGAAACCCATAAATGTCCCTGAAAGGTACTAAAGGGGACCCGCGCTCAATCCTGCCAACTAATCGTGTTGAACATGCAAAGACAGCATAAAAGATTCATTCAAGCAGATGAAGAGTCTCTGTTCAAGCCATCTGGGAGAATTCAAAAGTTCAACTTTCATCAGCAAAAAATACTGGCACTTTACTATTACGCTGCACACTAGAATCGGGTGATTTATTTGTAAAAAGCAAGAGTCAGGTAAATCAAAATGCATAGGCGTCAATAGATCAAAGTTACGCTCTGTGCACAACAGTGATGTAATCTAGGACACATAAGTTAATGAAAGCTGAGGTTAATTACCCTGAACTGCAATGCAACAAATGCACCGATCCACCAAAGGGTGACAGCCACATTTATAACAGCCCTGTCACACAATTTAAAAGTTAACCTTCTGCGATGGCTGGGACAGAACGATTAGAAAAAGGTCATCTCTATAGCTCCGGCCTGTAATTTAGGTCAAAAAGATGCCCACAGAAAGCTAGAGTAAAGAATCAAAGTCTGGCATCTCCAATGCAATGTACAACACCGCTGAAAGCTCAGCGAGAACACCCAGAAAAAACACAAACTCTCCTTGTGCGAGGTCGATAGCTCGTCCCACGGCAGAGGACTGTAGGGCTGTCATCAGACTAATTAGCTGCTCAAAGGAGAACAGAGTGTCTCAGCTGCGACCTCCACACTTCACTTGACACTGCAAGATTCTAGACAAAGTGCTCTCCGACACACAGCATGCACACATAGCCGGGGAGCGGGAGGAAGAGTGTGAACATCACCACTTTCCAGGCCGAAACACTACATGGTAACGTAATCTATTCCTCAATCCTACCTACAGTGAGCATACTTCATGCTTGGTTGCAAAATGTAATATACATTTAATATTACTAAAAATTCCAGAAGTCTTTTTTATTCCAGACCTTCTTGATTTAATTGGTGCACCAAACAATTATTCTAAATAAATATGTTAGATCATGATTTGAAGAAAAACATTTGGGAAACACTAATGTAGTGCTAGTGACTCATTCACAGAATCCAAAAGAACTTTGGATGGAATAAAAATTGTACTATTTTGGCCATGATTTCAATGCAAGTTGCAGTAATGCCCCCTTAACGTTTATAATTTTAATTTAGTGTCTCACATACTTTTTTCTATCATATCTGTATCATATCAACTACTGTAAATATTTTAAGGTTCTTTCAACTTAAAATTGACAACAAATTTTTCACTGAATTACATATATATTATATATGTATATGTGTGTGTGTGTGTGTGTGTGCTGTGACTCAAAAGGAGTTTTTTTTTTTAACAGTGCCTCTGAATCATAAACTGAACCAATCATTCAACTCACTTCCTAAGTGATTCAGCTCAGATGACTCACTCGCTCTCTCAACTACAGGTTATTGCTTGGAAATGACCCGAGAATGAAAATGCTAATTGTATGGTTATTTGTTACCAAGTTTTTATTTCCATGTTCCTCGAAAGGAAAAGGGGAAGAAAAAAAAATCAAACAGGAACAACGTGAGGTGAGCAGATGGCAATTTTAGGCACACTATCACTTTAAATCTGTTCTCTTAATTATTACAAATGAAATCAGGTACTCCTGGGTGAGTGTTCTGCTCCGTGGAAATCTTTTGGGTGACCTAAATTACAAGAGTAACACAGGGAGACGAGAAACTACTGATGATTCCCCGAAACAGTGCCTGGGAGAACAACAACAGACAGCAAACATTGTAATGCATGCGACGACACATGAATGTAATCTGATGTTTATGACAAATTTAATAGAACAGCTCTCCATGGACCCCAGTTCCAGAGCGATTGCATGACATAGAAACTAATGAGCTAAATAAATAATGCATTTGCAACCTTACTACAATACTGCTTTTAAATGCAGCCAGTCTATAAAAAGCACATGTTAATATATAAGGCTTAATGTATTAAGCAGCCCAGTTTGGTTGGATCACAAAGGAGTACATTACCAAAAGGAAATAAAGTGTGAAGACACGGAGTTCTTGTCTTCAGGCCAGTCATAAAGTCACTCTCAAATTACTCTCATGCATTTTTAGGTGCCCTCAAGTGAAATTTTCTACACCTACTTCTGCAGTAAACCTCAGGTTAAGTTCTGTTTACGGGAGAAGAAAAACCTGATGCCCTGTTTTGCGCAAGCTGTTCATTAAAGTCCATCTTTGAGCGTTTCCCCGAGTAGAAACACTCCATTATTCATCTGGGATGGAAAAAGAAAACTTGAATTATGAGAGCGGGCTAATCCTGACATGAGCTGATTATGCACATGGGTTGTCAGGTTGGTTCTTACCTGGAGGAAGGGTCTCTAGGCTGTGGGCTTTGTCATCTGCATTGCTGTGTGATTGAATTCGGTTTGAATTAATGCCACTCCAGTCATCCTGCCAAAGAGAGTAAAAGATCATGAGCATAAAGGCATACTACATGGGTTAAAATGGCAATTGAACAACAAATTAAAGAGAAACTGGTTATGAGCAAGCGGTTACGGCTGTTGTAGTAAGTCAGTGGTGTCTTTGGTATTATAGTAAAACAATTATACATTTTTCTTCATGCAGACACCAAGAGGACAGAAGATGATATTTTTGTCAAATTAGTCCAAACCTAAAAACTCAAGATTACTTCAAATCTAATTTATTCTACATTGAATTAGGTCCAATTGTAATAATACAGAAAAAGTTCACTTCAGTCTAGGCTAGTTGCTGTAGTAACCACAGATCTCATGACCAGGAGCTTGTGCTGTGTTGCAGCTCTTTTTTCTCCTGGTGAGTTTGATCAAATCCATTTATTTTCTTTTAAGGGGAATTCAAGCAGCAGATAAATCAACAGAGGTGAACAGTTCAGGGAAACAAGATGCATTCCTAGTTTCAATATTACTTATTCTTCAGACATTCTGCTTTGAATACAATAAGTATCAGCTGTATACAAAGTGACCAACATTTGGTTTTCAACCACTAAAATAGGTAATATTCAACAATCTGAAAATGGAGCCTCATTGAGATCCCCACATCTCTGGGACTGATTGATGTAGGGCTTTGAAAATTAAGATTCCAAACCGATTGCAATTTTCTTGGCCGATTCCGATTTCCGATTTTTTGTTAGTGTGATCTGCCGATACCGATTTTTGCCGATTCCGATTTTCTTTCTAAGAACTATAATTGACAGCATATACAAACAAAAATCTACTTTTCTTCAATGCAGTTTTATTTTCATAAAAAAACAAGTAAAAACTCAGTAATAAAATAAGAACACATTAAAAAAAATTGCAAACAACAGCACAAATGTGTGAGAGAGAAGGGGTCGTCGGAGAGAAGAGAGCGAGAATGCGCGGCTGACGTTATTGCCTGTGCCGCTGGTAACAAAACGGATCGGCTCAAAATCGGAAAGAAGTGAGACCGATCGGCCGATCGCCGATCCGGGCCGATCATGAGGAAAACCGTCCGATTCCAATCCCTGGCCGATCGATCGGTGCATCTCTAATTCCAAAAAAAAAAAAAGTTTATTAAGAACTAGAATCTAAAATCATATTTCAATATCTTTAATACTTCTTAAATTATAGGCACACAAACTTTGGAAAAATAATATTTATGGCACTCAGACAGGTATGTTCAATGCAGTTGTTTTGAGAGAAGTAAATGAGATACATCTCTAGTTTCAACATTTTTCAGACATCCCTCTTTAAAAGAAAAGTAGTATCATATTTTTACAAATTGACCCACATTTAGTTTTTGACCACTGAATGCGTGTACATTTTAACAATTTACTCCTGGAGCCATATTGAAATTCCAATATCTCAGGAACTGAACCATATAGGGCCTTAAAAATGAAGATACCAAAAGGAAAGTTTAAGACTAATATCTAAAAGGGCATTAAGATATCTTTAATACTTCTTGAGTTATAGGCATGCAAACTTTGGAGAAAAAAAACTTGAAAAGTGTTGTTTCCCCATTTTTGAATGGTCACCTTTAGCACATAATGCAACAAAAATGGCTAAAATCAACATATTTTACTAACAGACCTACCAATATCTGTGTAAAAATAACATTATGGTGCTGCCATCTCTCTTAAGTCATTTTTACCCCTCTGTAATTTGGCTCTGAAAGGTGAAAATGGCCATTTTGACACCCCTCAACAAAATAGTGGATTACTCCGTAAATATTCATCCATGACATTTAATATTTTGGCTTTCATGACTATACATGCCTGTCTTTTTTCAGAAAAGATATTAGCAAAATCAAAAATTTGAGCCAGGGAATTTTTTTACATTTGGTTGATTTGACACGGAATGACCCTATTATTATTTAATATTCTTATAGTTATACTTCTTATACAAAGAGCTACAGCATCTAAATTGGTACCAAGAATCATGAAATTCCACTGGTACCAACTACTGAAAGTTTGGTATTGTGAAAACCAAACAGACCATGAACGCAAGAAAAAAGTCTGAGCAGACACTATTCCCACTAAACCAGGGCATACCACGACCATGAGCCAACAGAAAGCAGCTGAAGATTACCCAATCTTCAGAAGGCTTTGGCATCAACAAAACAGTCAGTTCATTTCAGCTCCCTTGATAACAAATGTCGGAAAATACGGGTATTCTGTCAATTGTGCAAAGGCCAAGCCCATGAGTAACAAACAACCACACAACAAAACACACCCGAGCTAGTAATAATTCACACACGGCCCTCTGCCAAGGTTAGCAGTAAATAAATGTGCAGTCTGGACAGGCAGGGCAGATTGGGATTGCAGAGCCACTTCCAAAGCCCACTTGGACCAGTTTCTGCTCCACCAGCCCAGGAAAACATGATTAAAACCACAAATGTTCCACTGTAAAAAAATAAAAAATAAAAATAATCACTTATGACTATTTTATACACAACCTAATATTAAGTGTTAGTGCCTTAAATCAACATGTCAGCTAAAGGATATCAATGATTTTAATATAAAACAAGTAATGTTAGAATTCTCAGCGCTAATAACTCAAAACATCATGACGCCTTTGCTGAGTTTTCAAGCAAAGCCAGAATTTTCACTGACCCAGCTTGTGATTCATGTTAGGGAATTCTGGCTCTTGGGTCAGCAGGGCGAGGGAGCAGGTGTGAGAGAATGCTGAGAACAGAGGAACGTCCTGCCAAGCTTCACGGAGCTTCCCCTCAGCAGCTGGTCTTCTTCTACAGCTCATGACCTATTACGAACTATTGGCAATGACATGCCAGATAACCAAGTTTAGTGCTTAGAACATATGAAATTTGCAATCTATCTCCATTCATCATTTCACGTTATGAGAGGTTCAGTCTTTAGTGTCCTGCTACAACTTATATTTTTCTAGGCATAGATCCTGTGATTTCTGAAATGACTTCATAAAATATGCTAAACAAACCATTTTTTTCATTTTTTTCTAAAACCATTTAAATGGTTTTGATCTTCATGTCTATAAGAATTACAAGTCACACAGGTTTTCTGCTGATATTCAATTAATTGTAGTAAAATTTATTTTAATTGTGTCTGTGCAAAGAGGTTAATCATTCAATCTTCCATTGATTGTAATGGAAAAAAAAAAAACATTACTCAAAATTGCTACACCTGAAGTAACATCAACTTGGATCTTTTCTACAACATGGCAATTGCTTTAATAAAAAGAGCTTTTTAAAACACTATTTAGAGGACTTTTTGTAACAGTTGCAAAATCGCTAAAACTAAATAATAAAACACACTTCTAAATATTTCAAAACAACATTTTCTAAACTACCTTACATCTAAAGTATCATGCATCCTTGAAATGTAAGAAACCCTATTCATGAAAAGTGCCACTTTAGAGCTGCTAAACTGCAGAAAGAATACGTTTCTTAAGCTCTTAATACTTCTTTGGTCAATTCACTGGTTGCCATATTTAAACACCAATCTGCTATGACAACAAGGTAATTGCTATAAATTAAATTCAAAGAACAGGAAGCATAATTAATTATTAAAACCTTATTAAAATACTTTAGGCAGAAATGAGGAGAGGATGGCATGTCTGTGAGTAAAGTCTTTTACGCAAGCGACTGCTGTCATCGTTAGCTGCCAGGAACGCGTAGAAGATGCAATTCACCTCAGCACAAAATAAAAGGACTATTTTTTCCCTTCATTACTGTGTGCTACAGGGTGGAACAAATGAGTTTCCACAGTGCTGTGTTACAACAGGAGCAGGACACACACTCGCAATCCATGGTTGGGTGTCAAAACAAATCAAAATAATTTTTCATCACAGCTCAATGCACAACGTCATACGTTTTGACAAACCCATATGTGAGGGCTAAATTTTCAATGCGGTAAAAACTGCTTCGACCACAAATATCGCTTGACACTTCCTAAAATAATCTTGTTAATTCTACTCTGTGCTGCCAAGACAGAAAGAATGAAGCAATTAACAGACATCTTTCATTTAAATCAAAATGTAATATATTTAGCAAGGGAATCAGTGCATTACCTCAACCACTGACTACTGGGTGGGAAGCTTATTGACAGCACAGGTGAGGACAGATTTAATGCGCTACAGCATATTGCTCCAAGCACTTCTTTCAATCTCTACATTCATCCGTGCCCAGCTTGGTTTTCTCTGCATGTTTGTGGAGAATAGTTTGACATCATGTACACACTTATAAAAAAAAAAAAAACAAAACAAAAAAAAAAAAGATTCTTTATTGGCCTCTATGGTTCCATGAAGAAGCTTTAACATCCATGGAACTTGTCATCAGAAAACGGTTTTTAGATTAATTAAATGTGCTTCACACTAAGAAAGAAATATATTTCTTTTTAAAAACTATTCACAGAAAGATTCTTTGAGGAACCCAAAATGGTTCTTCCACTGTATGAGTGTGAAAAACCCTTTTATTTGTGTATAGCCACATTTATTCACCCAAAAATGAAAATGCTGTCATCATCTATTCACCTTCATGTCATTTCAAATCTTTCTGAAGTAAATCCTGGCCACTGTTTCAATATAACGAAGACTGGGGATGTCAAGCTCCACAAATGACAAAAACGCACCATAAAAGCATACAAACCAAACCAAAACCGTATAATAGCCACTGCATTATGAACAGAACAAACCTTAAATTATTCTTTAAAAATCTTTACATTTGGCATACAGTAGTTCTCTATAGCATGCTCATAATAGAAGCAGCGATGTCTGATTTGTGGATTAATCATGTTTATTTCAATGTATCAGTTCGGTTCAGTATCAATTCATTTATGAAGTTTAGCTCAACCTAAATGTACAACTAGCCTAAAATTTCAGTCATTACTCACACAATGACTATCACATGGCTTCAAAAAACTTGGAATGCAGCAAGTCAGATGGACTACTTCTACAGTTCTTCGGCATGAGGTTGTGTAAATA